CACACGCATAGACGGTTGATAAGGAGTGATGGTGAATTACGCCAAAACGAAATGAGCATATGATTACACTCTGAAGTCTAAACACACTCGTCGACGTTCGAGTGGACGGTCCATGTCTCTCTTTTTCTATACCTAATTAACATCTTCACTAAGACTTTCATTCTAGCTATTTTTATTGAAAGAGTTGGTTGGGTTTCTTCTATGATCGATCTCACCAAGATCAAGAAGAAACCTCGGCGAAACAAACCCTTGAAGGTATTATCAAGATGATGAGGGTTGATCAAGAGTCATCTAGTATACCGCCTGGATTTAGGTTTCATCCGACAGATGAAGAGCTTGTTGGTTATTATCTCAAGAAGAAAGTCGCCGCCCAGAGGATTGATCTTGACGTTATCAGAGAAATTGATCTCTACAAGATCGAGCCGTGGGATCTACAAGGTATATATATAGCTCTCTCTTGTTTATTCATATACATAGGAGTTAATATATATATGTAGGGCGTGTGATCGATCGTTTATAGAATATTTATGTACCAACTAAAGATTCGCTGGTTTTGGCCCTTCATCTATGCAATTTATTAACACAACCTCTTCTCTAAATAAACTACTTCTAGAGAGGTCAAAAGTGAAATTAGGGTTTTGATAACTAATAAATAAACCAACAAATCAGTTACATATGTAAGCAAACCATATCCTATTTATGTTAATGTTTATAAATTAATTTGTAAGTGGAAAGATTTATATGTTATATTTGTAGAGAGATGTAGGATCGGGTACGAGGAGCAAAAGGAGTGGTACTTCTTCAGCCACAAAGACAAGAAGTATCCGACTGGAACTAGGACTAATCGAGCCACAATGGCCGGTTTTTGGAAAGCTACCGGCCGGGACAAGGCCGTTTACCTCAACTCCAAACTCATCGGTATGAGAAAGACTCTTGTCTTTTACCGTGGTCGAGCTCCTAACGGCCAAAAATCTGATTGGATCATTCACGAATACTACAGTCTCGAGTCACACCAGAACGCGCCTCCACAGGTAATTAAGGCTATACACATTCTAAATTGATTTCTTACTTTTTCTTTCATGTTAGAAGTTTCACATTTTTATCATATTAAAACACGGCCCCCACTATATACAAAGAACAATCAAGTGTTTAAATAGATATGTAGACTCTTAATGTTTTTGTGTCTCTTTTCTTGGTCTGAAAAGAAAAAAGTAATAATTTATATACTGATATGGATTAAAATGGTGAATTAGCAGGAAGAAGGATGGGTAGTGTGTAGAGCATTCAAGAAACGAACGACCGTCCCGACCAAAAGAAGACAACTTTGGGATCAAAACTGCTTTTTCTACGAGGCCACAGCTGATCTCATGGAACCTCTCGACAAGAACGTCCATAAGCGAGCCAGACACAACACTGATATCTCCGGCACAACACCGTTTAAGCAAGAGCTACTCTCGGAGAAGAATCACGTGGACGATGGAGAATTCGGCTCTATGTTCCTTCAATCGATCGACGATGATCAATTCTCTCAGCTTCCTCAGCTCGAGAGCCCCTCTCTTCCCTCAGAAATCACTCTGCAGGAACACATGAGTCGACAAGAAGATGACGTGAGCGTGGAGAAGAGGATCACTGATTGGAGATCGCTTGACAAGTTCGTGGCGTCTCAACTGTTGATGAGTGGAGAAGACTAAAGGCCCTTATATATAGGAGTACCGTTCTATGCATGCATGCACAAGAAACGTCGTCGTGTTTTGG